GTGCAGTGCGTTTCAATCGCCCGACAAGGGATGCTTGAAATTATTTATCTTAAACTGAATATTCACTGTTGGCTCTATCTAAAACTTTTATCGATTTGACTGGCTCACCCAGCCAGCATTCTTCCCTGGAAATGATCCTCAGTTCGGTGAGCTGAAGACTTCAGAAACGAGAGTAAATTTGCCAGCACTGAACTCAGTCCCAGACTTTTCTCCAGAAAGTTTAAGAGAGTCTATACCCAAAGCTAGTCGGGTGAGAAGCATTTTGTAGGCTGACTGCAGTGCATTTTAAGGAATGGCAAGATACGATAAATTGTGAGAGCGGAACTCTCACTTCCCTAAAACATCAAGTTGTAGTGATCAGTGCGAAGAAAATTCAACGCTTTGTCGCAAGAATAACAGGCAACGTTGATGTTAACGTCGAAACGTTCGAGTTCTGACGTGGGTTCGTAAAGGAGTTTCTAATCACAAGTGATTGGAGAAAGATTACGAATTAAAACACACTTAACTGCTGCACAAAATTTTCAAAAAGATTTTATATTTTTACGCTTGCGCAGTAGCGATCGTAAGTCTCATTAATGCAAGCAAATTTCGGTTAAGCCGTCTTGAAGCACATACTTCTCGTGATGAGGGATTACCTCGCGTTGAAATGTGAGAAAAAATCAAATGGATGTGAAATTTCGACGAATTTTAGCCGAACGCTTCACATACTTTTGAAGCGATGGCAACTTTCACCCAACAACATTTTCAAGGCAATAGCGCGTGAAATCGCAAACTTTTTCATGAGATTGTGTCCTGAATTTGATCGCATTTTATGTTGCTTATTTCATCCCAAGACGACTTTCCGCTATGGAAAACGAGCAGGTGATACCGGCGTTACTCGGGATCGAAAACTACAGGGATTAGAGAAAGTATTCATCAAATTGTCATCTTCATCATATAATTTTTACTACAATTCAGTGAAGATCAAAGACTCGTACGAATCTAATTGAATCAAAGTATGTAAACTTTACCCCGTATTCAAATTTGAAGCCAATATGAATGTTAAACACTGCGTTACATTCACTTAAAATAAACCAGTACTACAAGTAAAAACTTCACCCCGTATTCAAATTTGAAGTCAATCTGAATTTTAAATAATGCGTTACCTTCTCTTAGAATGAATTAGTACTACAAGTACTCCTTAATTTTGTAAAACTCCCATTTTACAATCTCATCACATTTCGCTACAGATAATTCGTATTCAAGTTATATATCCTGGCAAAAAATGCGTTGAGGTCTTCGCTCGAATAACTTTTTCGAGATTATATACAACTGTACACAACATCACAATTCAAACAGAATGACTTCTAAATTATGTAAAAAAATATAACTCATCGAAATTGCCTTAAATGAAAGATATGGTGTAAAACTTAGCTACAGCTGTTTTGATCATCCACATGAAATTTGAGGATGTAGTGCAAAGTATGAATTGAATTATAGAATAGCAATTAATCCGACATCATCGTTTATCTCAAAATTTGACTCGTGGTAAATTTATTATTTACCGAACAAAATTTTTCTTTCTGAACAATTTTTTCTGTCACTTTTCAAAAGTACTTGATTTAATTGCATTAAAATGTTTTTTTTCTTATGTGTCCAATAACGATGAGGCTTCTTTTGTGTTTCTTCTCATTGTTTCATTACGCGATTCACAGACGCCTCTAAGCAGTTAATTTCCTACAAAGTGTTTTCATCTTCGTTTTCCCCTATATTTCAGTAGTCCAAATCAATATCAAATCTGAATCATACTGCCTGCAAAAGCAGACTGTAACTCTCACTACTTCGATCTAATTGGGACGTAAGTTTCAGTTGAGCATGACGTGCTCATTCCTGGAGAGCAGTTACACGGCAAACTTTTACCGTATTGAGACTCTGTTGTGAGATAGTAATGCCAGAAATACCGGAACCTCCTATTGCACTAGGTTCTCCAAGTTGCAAAGTTTTAAAGCTTGTTTATTGCGGAATCAAAATTTCTGTGGAATCGCAATCATACTTGTACACACAATTGACGTGCGAGATAACGCGTCGTTACAAAATTACACTGGATGTGACGCTCGCATGTAGGAGGAAGTAGGAATGCACGCGGGCCTCGTCGCTCCTAGAATTGTATTACCGCGAGCAAAAAATTACATCTTATGTACTTCATACCTGAAAACACAAGAACTAGCTACCACCTTGAATCCGCGCTATGTTGAAATGGGTAAAATTAAGCCATGTAGAAACACTAGGACCATTGCAAATATTTTGGGAGAATTTTGAGGACTGATTTAAGTGATTATTGCGGGAGCTAGCATGCTTAACAGTATATATGAATATTTCGTGCTGGCACATATGAGAGAAGGGTTTAATACTGGTTAAGGTGAGAGAATGTTTTGCTCTGCCGTATGTCGAAAAAGTTTGGTACCCACAGTATAAGTAGGAGTGTTTGGTACGGGTGAATGGGGTAAAATGTTTCGTACATGGATAATGTGGGATATCATTGAGCGGTGTTGAATTTTGGAGAATGCTGATTGTTGAATGCTAGCGAGTAATGAAGAATCTTTGGTTTTGGGCAATGTGTGAGAATGTCGCGTGCTGGTGAACATTGGAGATTGTTTTGTTCGGGCAATGTGGGAGAATCTTGCATTCTGGTAAATATTAGAGAATGTTGTTGGGGATGTGGAGAGTCGGGATTGAAAGTTGTATTAACTGATATTATTCCCGATTCAAGTTCGTGTTTCCTTGCCATTTTCTTGATTGTGCCACAGTGATAATTTTTTTTATGTTTCCGTCAAGTCTGCACAAATATTTTTGCTGTACTGCGATTCAAATGCCCCTTCCCTCTTCCACATTATAAAGGTGGACGGGAGGAGGTATATTTTTTCGACTTTGAGGTTCGGCTGTGTCCGTGTTGAAGCTATCAGGTACCAAATACGCGCACTTCACGATCGCCCTAAATCGGCTTAGCTCGCTAGGTCTTTGGCCGGATTCTGATCAGACACTTATTTTGCTCGTACAAGCAGAGCGCATAGCGGACATACAGTAGAGCCGCTAATTCACGAGCTAGGCGAGCTTGGGGCATCCTTGTGCCAGCGGCTTGCAGGAATAAAAGTTTCGATATGGTTGATGATCCGATGAAGTTTTTCGGCGCTCACACTTGGCCACGTTCTGGGTGTTGAGAAATGCAGACGACGTAAATTAATGTCGACAACGTTCTGAATGCTGGAAATTAAGCTATCTTAAAAATAGTGCATGGCGGTCACGTTCTTAATGTTGAGAACTAAATAACATTAATCCAATGCGTGGCGGTAGTGGTCGGAATGTTGATGAGACTAAAGACACATTAATCCAATACATGGCGATCACGTTCGGAATGTTGAGCAATAAAGACATGTTCATCCAATACGTGGCGATGGCATTCGGAATGTTGGAAACCAAGACACATTAATCCAATGAGTGGCGGTTATGTTCGGAATTTTGAGAACTGAAGACACATTTAACCAAGGCTTGGCGAACACGTTTGAAATTTTGAGAACTAAAGACACATTTATCCAATGCGTGGCAGTTTAGTTCGGAATGTTGAGAACTAAAGAAACATTAATCTAGTGATGCGTGCATGGCGGTCGCGTTCCGAATGTTGGGAGCTGAAGACATCTTGTGGTAAAACACTTGGTGTATCTTCGTTGTTCGTCTACCATGCAAGGCCAGCGTATTTGTTGTATAGAATATAGAGGAGTGCCATGAGCTAGAATGTCATGGCTTTTTGTAAAGGAAATGTAATTAGCAGAAAAGGAAATGGTACTTGCGGTACTTCATGAATGGCAACGTGGTGAATAATGGCCACGTAGATCGCAACTGAATCAGTCAGACATTTTGCACAAGTCAAGATATTGCAATGAATGAAGTTCTACACCGAGATCAGTTTCACGCTGGAGATAAGTTTAAGGTTTAGAGAGTTAAAAATGTTTCCTCAATAATAGAGAACTTAGGTGCAAATCTCAAAAATCACTTTTTATTTTATTTACAGAATATATAGGACATGTTTATTGTCGAAATTGGACCTCATGGTTTCGTTGTAAAACTTCACTTAAAAATTCCTAAGCTTTAGAGGTCTAATAGAACAGGCAGTTATGAGCTTTCATTCAGAACAACATAGCAACCACTGGCCACTAAATAATTTCACTAAATCATTTCATGGGTAAACTAAATTCATACACTATACACGTACAACAGATTATTCGATCTGAAATATACTGATATGTCTTTTGCCTTGCCTCTCATTTTTTGTTGTGCACAACAAATTCTTCGTAGCAATATAAATCTAACAGAAAATATGCAAGAAGTAATAATTATAAGCTAGATTAATACAAGATGAAAACATTGTACAGTAAAATAAAGTTATACATCCTGACATTATACGAGTACAAAGTACAAGGCTATAAGCCTATATGCTAGCCAATTTTTTTTATCAAACTTAGCCCATAATAGGTTAGATCTGGCCAGGAAATTGTTAGGTTGGCAATAGTTAATTCATCACAAGGACATATCACAGCAGCGGCAACGACAGTAAGTAGCTTACGGCCCAGAGAATAACAATATATAAAGCACAATGATTCAGAAAAACGGACATTTAGCTTATTCGGCCTGAGGATGTTCATGGATCTCTTGCGACTATGCGACGCTCAAATCTTTGGCGGGATAATCAAGGAAAAATTTCATGTTTCGCTTACCATATGGTTGTCACGACTCTACTGCAAAAGAGGTAGAGAAATAGAGAGAAACTTTCATAATGAAAAAAACTCATGAGACATCCAGCCTTCGTGAACTAGATGGATGAAAATCATTAATCAAAGAGGTGTGTGGGCGGCTGCTTACATTTGATTCTCACTGCACCTGGTCCAACAAATCATAGACTTATAAAATCAGAGCCACGTACAAACAACGTAACAGAGTAGCAAGAGTCTTTAAACTGCCCGCGCAGACCGTGCCGATCCACAGCAGTCCCAGCAGCAAGAGTCGTTGAACGGCCCGCAGACCCTGCCGTTCCGCAGCAGTCCCAGCAGCAAGAGTCGTTGAACGGGCTGCAGACCCTGCCGTTCCACAGCAGTCCCAGCAGCAAGAGTCGTTGAACGGCCCGCAGACCCCGTCGTCCAGTCCGTGATCACAGCCCGCAAGATGTTGCGAGGTTTCGTGATTCTCATCGTCGCCGCGGCAGCAGCGTCGGCGCAGGAGTAAGTATTATGTCTTCAGAGTGTCATGAGTGGTTTGCGGTAACACTAATCAAGCGGAAAGATGTTCAATTTTTTTGCGCGGATATTTCGTATAAAATGCTGCTGGTATTCATTTTCAGGTTTGTTATGATTACTAGGGCAGAACTTCGCTTCATACGATGGTAGCATCAATAGTTGAGTTTGAGAATGAAACACGATACTAAATATTCTTTAGAAAGCGACGTAAAATGCGATTAATCAATCAAGTGGCAATTCATGATTTCAAACGCAGTATAAATAAAATCAGTAAATCTCCAGACCAAAATCAGGAGTTTTCTTCGCGGTAAGATTTTTTCTTGACCAAATCAATTTTATTCACGTCGTAAGCAAAAACCTAATTTGATTATTGATGTTGCGCAACTACCCCAGTAAATTGAAAGGATTCGCTTTTAATATAATTTTTCAGTAACACTTCTTATTTCGAACTTGATGAAGCAGGAAACATAACTGATTAAACTTTAAATAATAGTATATAATTGATTATGTAAGTGGCATACTTATTTAATTTGTGGATTAATTTCAGCGCCGCTCCGGCTTGCTTAATGACGTTGAATGATGCCGCCAATGCTATGACAAGAACGGCGAGGTCTGTTTGCTATCCACAGTACACTGCGGATGTTGTGAAATTTGATAATAGTAAGTGTAGAAATAATTATTACGAACTATTTTACTCCCACTATAATCCATCTTTATTGTAAAAACATCTCATCAAGCACTAAAATATTTAGATTTCAAAGTGTAGATACGTTAGTGTACGAATCAAACCTGAATTTTGCTCATTGACAAGCGCAGGTTAAGAACTTTTCTTTCATGAATGCGTATGGATTTTTCAATTCTTATGGTTGAGTTACCGAATGTTAACTAACCAATAGAATCCCTGCATTGTATCACTCCTATACGCTGTTTCGTAATGGGATGCGACCAACACACTATAATCGACTGCTTCGTTTCTCCCCCAGACCCGAACTGCAATATCTACGCTACATCGTACTACGCGACTACATGCGATCCAATTGTTGCCAACTACATGAAGTGCACACTCAAAGCAGCCAAACTTGTGAGTAAAGCATAATACTGAGCATCGAGCACAGGACTTGTGTGTGTGACTGTACGTTGAGCATCGAGTGCAGGACTTGTGAGTGTGACTGTACATTGGGCGCCGAGTTACTGACTGGGCATTGCAGCTCAAAAATTCTGATATCATACTCGCAACACACACGCTCAGCAGGGTTTATATCTGGTCTAGGGCCGATTTTTTCGGGGTTAATGTCAGTCACAAACTCACAAACTATTGGGCGTGACGCCGTGACCCACGCTGGTGGGGCACGCAGACCTGGCAAGTGGGTCAAGACAGCGGGAAGACATTTTAAATTCGGCGTTGTTTCCATATTAAAAAATTTCTCCATGCATCATCTTCAACGACGATCTTACATTTCTACGCAACAGCTCGCACGAAACGTGAGACAAGATCAGCTTGCAATACCCGTTCCGATCTCATTTAATGCTAAAGAATTTTTTTTTCAGCGAGCAAGAAAATTTGTATAAATCCGAACTCTAGTTACCATATAGCCTCAATATCTCCACCTCCCGTTCTTCAGCTGAAGGTCAACAACACCTTTGACGAAGCAGCCTTCAAAGCCACCACGTTGAAGAACAAATGCAGCACTGACGCCAAGTTTATAGCTGCGTACCCGCCGTGCAAGAACTCCACCATGAAATATTTGCACGTAAGTTTAAGTGTATGCTTGTCTATTTGATTTAGAATTAAATGCAACATTTTCCAAATGTATTGTTCAAATTTTAAAGTAACAAGGAAAAATTGGCAACGGTTGCGTATAGTTCGAACAATGAAAGAGAAAACCTTTTTCATAGAAATTCAACGATGTACGTCATACTTCTGCAGCAAACAGAGATCACAGAATTTCCGTAAATGTTCATCGCTGATGCCTCATGTTTCATGTTCCAGGTCAGCCGATTCATCTTCTGTCTCATGCAGAATACATACGGCGAGTGATGTCAGGAAAGAACATTGAAATGAGCCAGAAGAAGACGAGCTGAGCATCAGAATACGTTTCTTCTTCTATAACTTACTCATTTCCGCTTAGATGGATTGCTGACGAGTATATTGTAATGTTGCAATTTTGAGTTCGGAATTTCTTGGAAAATGTTCGTGGCTGTGTTTCAATCTTTGATTGACGGATTTTTTACAATCGAGTTTCACTATCTCTTCCCCATAAAATAAAGATCCAGGAAAAGGATTGTAGGATGCATTTGCTATGACCACATAAATGTACATTTATTAGTTTGAATACATTATTCACGACTTTTACCGCCACGCGCAGTTTCTTGGATATAATCTACATATATAATGTAACAATACAATAAATGATATGAATGCACATATATTTTACTGTCCTGTCTTGATTATTTGCATTCAAATTTCATGTTATATTTTTGTGGAAAACGTTTTATAGGGGTCGATATTTGTTGGTACGTGATAGTAAGTTCTTCTCATAGTGCAGAAGCCAGCTATCAAATTGAACGAAAGATATTCTATTATTCTGTCAAAAAGGCCAATATTCGATGTTTAGATGGAAGCCGCGCAACATTTGAACCCGGTCGCATGACCCCCCAGTCGCTGAACCCAGTCGCTGCCGTTCACGCCCAGTCGAGGGTGGACGTATCGGCAGCGTAACAGAAGATTGTTAATGATTGAAGTTATACCGTGAATCAAAGTAGAAACGGCTAAACACGTAATTTATCCATGAAGTTAAAAAGCAATTAAAATGCCACAAATATTCACCATATTCTATAAAATAAAATGTTCCGGAGTCTAGCTCTGTCATCAGATCGACAATCATTGAATGCAAGTAACCAGTATTCACATTGCAGGCTTTAAACTAAAATTTACAATTAAAAGACAAATCCTATTTACAAGTATGATTGTATTAGAACTGAACGCGGCAATTTAACTAGGCAACTGTTTGAAAATAAGGATTCTAAATTTCATAAGTCAGACACCGGTTATGGAAACTAAAATTGTGGACTCACTTTCGAATGCTGGGACTTTGCACTGCCCGCATTATCTCGTACAGCTGAATGAAAGGAAGGTGCAGGTATCATGCTCGCGAACTCTTCCCTTGATGCTCCGCCAGTCTAGAGTAAATGTTGCGTGACGTCATACCAACATACACTGATCCGCATTGCGTACATACATCAGCATTTGTAAACTAGAGAAGATCGCATCAAGTCAGAAAGAGTATCTTTATACCTGAAGAAAGAGCATGCAGATCCTGAAATTATTTACCAACAATACACGAAAATTGATTTTCGCAAGGTATTTCATATGATTAATTTTTTAAATATTTAGACCTCGCTTCAGATGCAGGGACAGAATATGGAAATGTACAATAAATAACGTTATCTTTAATTACACTCGCGGGAACAACTACACTATAAATGCTCCGATATGAATTTTTTGAATTTGAATACATACCATGTGTGACGCGAGCCCATGTGTGCGAGAATATGTGTGTGTGGTATGTGCGTGCTTTAGTTTGGGCGAGACGCTATAGTTTTTATTTTTTTTTTCAAATTAACATTTTCTCACAATTGTGAGAATATTTTTTTATTACATATTATTATTTTCGTTAATTTGTACAATAACACTCGTATGACGGTGCGCTCAAAACGAGTAATAGGCGATGGGAAAGCTGAAGATACAGTACCAAGCTACTCATTTATTCTCTCCTTCTTATTGGACGTGTTTTAATTATTTGCCTTCCCTAAACAACTGAAATTTCCAATTAATGCATTCTTAAAAATTTATATTTTTCTTTCATTTACGGGCCGCAACATCGAGCAACACATCATTCGATTCTTAAAGCGAATATCGAGCGACTCTGGAAGCCAATTTCGGATTTATTTATTTTTTCCATTTCATAATATGTAAATACTAAAGAAAATTGCGGGGAAGGGGAGAAATAAAAAAAATACTACAATATATTAGAAAAGTAGGTTTCTAGAGTCGCTACATACTCGTATTTGCATTACTAATCAATTGATATGTGTCTCGACGTTGCAGCTCGCAAATTACGGAGAAGTATTTTAAAAAATCCTAATTTATTCCGCTTTATTTACTTCTCACATTTCCTTTATTTATTTAAAAATGTTATAAAAACGTACAAAAAACGCTTCTATTAGGTTTTACATCCGTGTCTGAAGTTTCAGAGAGATCGGTCAGTTATTGATCTCTTATGAGAGTTGGGATCTTTTCTTAATGCTCGAATTTAAGTTCAATAATTTCATTGCTTATTCTTTATGACACATGACTCTCGACAAATGGCTCCCAATACATGTCTCACGACACATGCATGACTAACAATATATGACTCACAGCACATGACTCACGACAAATGTCTTGCGAAGAACTGAACCCCAAATACAAGTGACCTCTGGGTCTCAATAAATATTAATCTCATTTGCATTTTTAAATGTGCAGGTGGACAGATAACCACGTATTCAGGCCACGAGTGCATGGAAGCCTCGTCTGAACCAAGGCATCAATCATGCTATTGACATTCTTCACATGTCCAATAGCATTGACATCAGCAGCCGCATAAGAAATGGCAGGTCAGGTAACTCCCCAAACTACATCACACGTGCAAGCCTCGCAAGGAAGCTACAGCGCAGCCACGAGCACGGGCAACTTGTCTCTCCTACGAGGAATGCAGCACATGACTCACAACGTGGCTTACAACACATGACGCTCAAAATGGCTTACGACGCATGGCGCTCTACATGGCTTACAACACATGACACACAAAATGGCCTACAACACATGACACAATAGGTGGCTTACAGCAGAAGCTGCGCAACACTTGAATAAACTAAATAACAAATTTACATAAGCAACCAAAGAATCATTTATCATTTCATCTAATTAATAAGCGAGCTTCAGGCGTGATAAGTCGAGCACCAACGACCGCCTGCGAACATCTGTGTCAACGAAGCTGTTCGTCTTGTTGAGCGATGCACGAGTCGTCTCGACAGACGCATGCACAAGCCAGCATGCAGGTACCCAGCTTGAATATGCGCTGTGTTCTCCCATTGATGATCCGATGAATTTTTTCGGCGCTGACACTTGGACACGTTCTGGGTGTTGGGAAATGCAGACAACGTAAATTCAGAATGTTGGAAACGTTCAGAATGTTGAAAATAATGACACCTTAAATCTAATGCGTGGCGGTCGCGTTAGGAGGGTTGTGAACTAAAGACACATTTTACGTGGGGCTCTGTTGTGAGACTGCCGTGTCAGAATTACCGGGCCTCCTATTTCACTAGGCTCGCAAGTTTCAAGAAGTTTCAAAGTCTTAAAGCTTGTTTATTGCGGCTTCGAAATTTCTGTGGAATGGAAATTTATACTTTGTCTAGTTTAATTTATGGCATAAAACAACGAAGGAAAGCTTGCGATGCAAACAAAGATTTACTAAAGGAAACTCAAACAGAAATGAGTGAATCAGATAAAAAATATAAAATAGGAATAAAAAGAAAAATGCATAGACACTTCTCTGATTATCGACAATAGTTCACGAATGACGAACGTCATTCCGACATTGGAACCATCGAAACTTCCGTAGCCCATCTGCATCGATATTATTGTGTAGCGCTGTGTGTTTAATTTATTTAATTTTTCACGTGGCCGTGAATTTTACCTAAGTGGGAATAAGAAGTTGGCTTAATTTTATAATATGTAGCGATGAGCTGAACTCGATGTCGGCAGCCTCTATATTGTATGCACACATGTTGGTAGTGAACTCCAACACGCGTAGCAGATTAACTCATTGGAATCGAGGACGTACTATAACTTCTGGTATAACCTGATAAATTATTTGTTTGAATACTACTGTTCCAGTTGGTATGCAGCACCGTTACACTAGTTCGCACGCAGAACCATTTTGCCAGTTGTCTGCAGCGCCATTACAACCCTTCTGTAAAAAATTACATCAACTTTGCGGGTATATATGCATTGCAGTCATTTCGATAACGTTTTACTCCAAGTGCAGAAAATAAAATAAATTATTGTGAAAAACCTCATGGCACTTCTAGCATTTCGAAGTAATGCGACTTCTGTTCCATGCCCCATATGCTGACTGAAATATGACTTAAAAAAGAATTAACGCGGTAATAAACGTTATTTGATTGAATCAACGTTGATTGAACTTTGTTTCGACGTCGTTTGTCTGGTGCGTTATATAGTTCCTCTCAACAGATGAGGGAGTTGTGTTTTTTGTCCTATTTTCAGCGGATTAGCGTTTTTTATAGTCGTGCTATTGTTGTCCTGTTCTTAATGTTTTTAAAACAACTGCATTGAAGATGCTTCCCTGTATTTATAGGAGGACCAGCACTTTTTCTTCCCTTTTTAGAGAAGGACCAGCACGTTTCCTTAAGGACCAGCACTTTAAGAAGGAAACTTTAAAAATTATTTTCTAAAGTTTTTCTACGCTGCAAAAACTTGAATGATGGCATTTCATAGCAATTTCATTGTTCCCTTAGACTAATTTATAATGTCAGAGATGATATTTGCATCCCCTTCGCTGCTGTTCAAATGCGTGAGAAAAATAGCAGATGCGAAAAGCCACGAGCAATATTTTCGTAGTTATAAGATACCCCTTTGTATACCTTCACGTGGAAGGTATACATATTGGCCCGTATGCTAAATAGGGCACTAGCACTACGAAGTAGCACTATGCACTACGAAGTGTCCTGTTGGTATGCTAAATTCGTCACAAACACTAAGCACTTCGAAGTAGCTCTACAATGTTTAGTGTCGCTTAGTGTCGCACTACTGATTCGAATGCAGAAAGACTTTGAAGTGCTACTTCGCTGTTAGAGTACTTTATAGTGCCGCACTACGCTGAGTCTATTGAAGAATGGTAGTTAAGTGTTCAAATAGTTAATTATTCCCTAAGTAATTCTCATTCTTTGCAGAAGATTGATGTAAAATGTCAAATTGTGATGGTATATAATGGTACTATTGAAAATTGTAATGGTGAGCTGAAATTCGCAATGCATCTGCGCACCTTTCCCATCATATATTCAAAGGCCACGCTTCCCAAAGACATCGAACAAAAGGGAGAAGCATGGAAAGTTCTTGCAGAAGAATTCAAAATGGCTCCAGAAAAAAAAACAAAAAAAGAAAATTCAAAACATGGTATCAAAAACAAAAAAAGTATTTTCTACTTCTACGCTGTTCATCTGTTTCGCCAAGGAAAATGTCAGCCATAAGAATAAC